GAAGACCATTGTCTGCAACCAACGAAGAAAAACAACTTGATGTTCTGCAGACATTTATTGAAGATCCCAATTCTAGTGTTCAGAGAGTCGCTCAAACTCACGATATTGCTCCCATGTCGGTTTGGAGAATTTTAAAGAAGAACAAGTTCCATCCATATAAATTGCAATACGTTCAAGAATTGCAAAACGGAGATGAGGAGCGTCGTATACATTTCTGTGAAAGAATGATGGCACTAATAGATGTCCGGCCCATCTTCCCTTATCAAATTGTTTTCACAGACGAGGCAACTTTTACCTTAACGGGAGAAGTTAATAATCAAAATTTTCGTTTCTGGTCAGATGAGAATCCGAATTGGGTGCGGGAAACTCACACACAACATCCACAAAAAATAAATGTATGGTGCGGAATAATAGATGGCTATTTAATAGGGCCGTTTTTTTTTGAAGAATATTTGAACGCTCAAAGGTATGAGAGATTACTTGTTGATCAAATAATTCCAGCCATACAGAATACTTTTCCAAATAATTTCCAAGAAATATGGTTTCAGCATGATGGAGCTCCTGCTCATTTTGGTGCAGGACCACGTCGTATTTTAAATGAGACTTTTCCGCTACGGTGGATAGGAAGAAGGAACGGAAATGAGGGAGGAGAGGATTGGCCACCTCGGTCACCGACAAAACACTACAGACAAATGTTTTTTCATTAAGTACTTTTTGAGTTATAAGGCTTCAAAGTTTGCAGTACTTCGATATAAAATGCAAAATATCTCGTAAAATATTTAGTTTTCGGTAGTCTTACCCTAATACTTTTATGCACAGGATAATGAGACAAAACTATTGGTGCAAAGAAAACGCATGATTGTTTATAACAAAAAGTGCATTGCAAATTACACATTTTTTATTATAAACAATCATACGTTTTCTTTGCACCAATAGTTTTGTCTCATTGTCCTGTGCATAAAAGTATTAGGGTAAGACTACCGAAACTAAATATTTTACGAGATATTTTGCATTTTATATCGAAGTACTGCAAACTTTGAAGCCTTATAACTCAAAAAGTACTTAATGAAAAAACATTTGTCTGTAGTGTTTTGGAAAGCTCTCGAGATAAGCTACAAGAATATGTAATGAAAAATAGTGGGTTCAATTTAAGAAATTGAAGGTGACTTTTATGTGACCTTCAAATGACTTTCCAAGGTCAAACCAATGCTACCATCTTATGTCCCCCTTCACACCCTACAATTTTTGTTTGAAACATTTCTTTCTGAAGAGTGCTGTTTTCGAGATATTCGAGTGCATCGATTAAAATGGCCCACCGTGTATATATACTATACATATATTTGATTATGATTAATTCTATTAACGCACATATATATGTATAATGAAATAAAATCATTATATTAATTATACTAACCTAACTACTAAATAAAATATACATATAGATACATAAAAACGGAACAACAAAATGAACCTGACTATCATTAACAAAATTTACAAATATAATTATGTTAAAATTGCGAGAATAAATTAAATAAATTAAAATCTACATCTGTCCCCGCTGGGCCTGTCGGATAAATAAAAGTCCTCTAATTATTCTTCATGACATACAGAATTTATTAAATAAATACAGCACGTATCAATTAGAAATTAATAAGAATTTTATTTCTATTATTCCATAATATAAAATCAGGTTGCAAAACATTTTGTTGCACCCAATGAATAAATAAAAAAAAATATAATAATAAAAATATTTATGCTTATATGTTGCTAGAATTCCGTAGTGCAATTTGTTGATTTAAAACATCTCTCTCTTCTCAACGTGCATGTAGACTCTCACCATTAGAAACCTGAAAAAGGACAATCGTAATTAATATAAAGCTCATATATATATTTTCATATAAAACAAATTAAAGAAAATAAAAATTCCCCAAAATAATTTAATTAAAATATAAAGATTTTCAATACAATTAAAAATAAATTATCTTATAAAAAACGCCCAATTAATAACCAAAGATGTAAATCTTAACGACATATAAATTCGACATATATATATACAGGGTGTCAATTAAGTCCCGGGACGGCTGAATATTTTCTCATGTAAGGTATTTTTGAAAAAGGTCAAGGTCATTTCTGAAGTAATTTTCAATGAGGAATTCAACGGTGACCTTCAATTTGACCTTGAGCTTGACCTTCAAGGTTATTTGAAGGTCAAAGTGTTTTTTTTTAATAGGAACCCCTATTTTTGATTGTATATTCTTATAGCTGACCTCGAGAGCTTTCCAAAACACTATAATAAAATATTTTTCCCTCAAGCATTTATCGAGTTATGATGCTTCAAATCATTTCTTAATTTTACATAAACCGTAAAATATCTTGTAAAATATTCACTTTTCGATTATTTTACCTTAATACTTTTATGTACAAAATAATGAGAGGAATCAATTGGCGTAAAGAAAACATATAGTTGTTTTTAAGAAAAAATATGGAATTGTTAATTGCAAATTACATATTTTTTCTTAAAAACAACTATATGTTTTCTTTACGCCAATTGATTCCTCTCATTATTTTGTACATAAAAGTATTAAGGTAAAATAATCGAAAAGTGAATATTTTACGGTTTATGTAAAATTAAGAAATGATTTGAAGCATCATAACTCGATAAATGCTTGAGGGAAAAATATTTTATTATAGTGTTTTGGAAAGCTCTCGAGGTCAGCTATAAGAATATACAATCAAAAATAGGGGTTCCTATTTTAAAAAAACACTTTGACCTTCAAATAACCTTGAAGGTCAAGCTCAAGGTCAAATTGAAGGTCACCGTTGAATTCCTCATTGAAAATTACTTCAGAAATGACCTTGACCTTTTTCAAAAATACCTTACATGAGAAAATATTCAGCCGTCCCGGGACTTAATTGACACCCTGTATATATATATATATATATATATATATATATATATATATATATACATTCCATAAACTCATTATAAGTAGATACGCGTAAAACAAATTATTAATGACAATAATAAAATACTAACTGTTCACATTATAACAAATTAATTGCACAAAATTAACACATAAAATATCCCTTATAACGTTAATAAGAATTAACCCCTAAAATTAACGAAAGAAATAAATTAAGATATATAAATATATATGCAAAATAATAAAGCAAAGGGAAACACTTACGCTTACTTATATAATTTTCATAATTGTCGAAATATAAAATATAAAATGATTTATAACCCTTCCTTTTCCAACAAGTATACGTATATCTTCTCTAAAAACCTGAAGGAAAAAATAAAATAATAAATATACATATACACAAACATATTAAATATGACAATTTTATTCTACACGAACATCACGAATAAATTAAGATAGAAATAATATCTCTTTGAGAAACTAATATTTTAAATAATTAGAATTTAACAAAAGACATTTTTAACGACAGTATTATTAAATAAATGATAATAAATTGCATAAAATCATTCTGATGTATGAGCAATTAAAATCTTAATGCATTAACCAAAATTTAAAATTATTATATGATTAACAACAACTCAATATTTCATTTATATAAAACAAATGTATCAACGTTATAAAATCTTATCGTATGCCGTCCATACAACCTAATATTTCAAGACGTATGAACCAATATTATATCCTCGATACATATACATATATACATTTTTGTCAATTAGTAGTACAATTTTAAACCTCGTATTCCTTAATTTACCTCTAAGAAATAATATTAGCGATTGAATTTATACGAAATTTCGCGATATGAATCCTTTTGAACGGTCACCCATCTCAGTGTCGACCAATCCAAGTGTCGCTTAAATTTGAAGCCGCGGTTGCCGTGCACCTGAAAAAGAAAAAATAATTAATTAATGAAACTCAAAATTTTAACGGAACCTTAATAATAAAATATGACTAAGAAAATCAAAATGTCAATAATAAAATTTAATAATAAACTTTTAGTAATGAATTCGATAATTTAATTTAACAATTGCTTATCAGAAATAATTAGAAAACTAATATGCGAGAACGCGGTAGGAGACAAACAAATGTGCGAGATCGCGGTAGGAGACAAAGTGACAGCGAGAGTAGTTTAAAATTAAAGTTTATTTTACACTTAGTCTTATTTACAATAAAAAATTCACTATTTATCGATATCGGATTTATTATAAAATGTCTCTCTTTAAGGCTCAATAATATAGCGCGGAAAGCAACGCGATTTTCTAATTTGAAGCGACGAAGTATAAAAGTCCGCAAGCGACGGACTCCAGAAGACCGGCGAGAACTTCTGGTTTTATAAAATTCGTTTCCGAGGAATAGCGCACTGTTGCTTAGGAATACTAACGCAAGTGAGAGAGGATGGTCGCGCGAAGGAGTTTATATATCAACAGGACGCTAGAAGTCGCTCGAATTTTCTAGACTTAGAATTTTTTAGTCGTGTTTATTTGTTGATAATGTTTCAAAGTCAAGACTAGCTTATTGCTCTGTTGATATATGCCCCTCCTTTCGGGCGACCGTTTGGAAAGACGTTAATAATTCAAAGTAAAATGTCGTGCTCGGATTCGTAAAGATTTTTATAAGCGTCGCGCGCGCGCGTCGGCCGCCGCCGTTATGAGTGTACGGCGCGGCTAATGCAAATGCGATCGCGAATTGCTCTGCCCATTTTTTTGGCAGATTCGTTCATTTTTTTGAACATTCCGCCCGCCTCGTATGGGGAACCGATACGATCGAGACACTCCCTTTTCGATGTCGCCGAAGGGAAGTATCATGTAGTGAGCAAGTGGGTGGAGTGTGACGGTGTTATTGCTGATGCTAGGCGTACAAAGATAAGTAGATACTGATTTCAAATTTATAGAAATACTATTAATCGATAATACCATTAATTGATAAGAAAGACTAAATTTCTAATTATTAGCAAAATAATTTGTAGAAGGAAAGTACAAAATTAAATGATACTAATATAGTTTTTTTTTTTTTTTTTTACGATTCGCCGTCTCCTCTGGCGCAGGAGTTGATGGGGAGGAGCACTAGTTTGTTGACAGGTCGTGTTAGGCTGCTGGTGGAGGTGCGCACGTCGACGACTCGTATGTGGCCGTCTCTCCCAGGGTAGATGCTCTCAATTCTTGCTAGGGGCCATTTATTAGGTGGTGATATTTCACTCCGGAGCAGACACAGGCGGCCGATGCGGACTTGCTCGTCGGCCTTGAACCATTTTGGTCGATGCGTCAGAGAGTGGAGGTACTCTCGCAACCACCTAGTCCAGAAGCTGTCTCGCATCTGGCTAATCAGCCTCCACCTGGTGAGTAACGTCTTTGGCTCTTCGACAATTGGTGAAGTTGGAATGGCATTAAGCGCGGTGCCTACGAGGAAATGGCCAGGAGTCAGCGCTTCGAGGTCCTCTGGGTCGTCCGACATGGGTTGCAGCGGCCGAGAGTTGAGGCAGGATTCAACTTGCGCAAGAAGCGTGGCCATCTCCTCGTAGGTCAATTTTGCGTCTCCGACCACACGACGAAGGTGATGCTTCACTGACTTAACGGCGGCCTCCCAGAGACCGCTGAAATGAGGAGCGGCTGGTGGATTGAATCGCCACTCAATTCTCTCATCTGCTAGGCGGTTATGGATTTGACGTTCTTCCTTGCTGCTGGCGGAAAAGAGCGCACGTAGCTGTTTATCGGCACCCACAAAATTAGTTCCGCGGTCGCTGTAGAGGACCTTACATAGGCCGCGATGACTGATGAATCGACGCAGGGCGGCCAAGAAGGCATCGGAGGTATAGTCGGAGGCGACATCAAGGTGGACCGCGCGGCAGCTGAGACAAACAAATATTATTAGGTATGACTTATAAGCTCGATGGCCTCGACCCTTGGAGTTGCGTAACTAGATTGGTCCAGCATAGTCGACGCCCGTGTGCAAAAAAAGCCGTGAATGCATGCCCTCGGGGCAAGTTACCCATTGGCGGCTGAGGAGAAGCCGCCCGCCAACGCAAGCACGGCAGACAGCGGTGAATGTAGTTCTTCACCAAAGCTCTTCCACGTATAAGTTAGTACTCCTGGCGCAGGGAGGTCAGGGTAAGCTGCACTCCTCCATGCAATGTTCGCAGGTGCGTGGCCTTGATCAGTAGCTGCGTTAGATGAGAGGTGCTGGGAAGTAATGTCGGGTGCTTCGCCTCGCGAGTCATTGAAGCATTGCCCAGCCGTCCGCCGACGCACAGTATGCCCTTGTTGTCGAGGAAGAGGCTTAGTTTGGCTAGCGCGCCCTTTGCAGGAAGTAGAGTGGTTTTTTGTACTAACTTTATTTCTTTTTTAAAGTTGATAGATTGGACCACCCGTATCCAGCCAGTCAGCGCTTCAGCTAGCTCGGAAGGTAGCAGGACGGTAGCGGGGAGATCGTCGCCGGCTCTTTGGACCATTCTTTCAGACTTCCTGAGGCATAACCAACGGCGGCACCAGGCGGTGATCCTCAACAGGCGGTGCAGTTCGGAGAATCGCGTTAAAAGCTCCGGTTCATCGACCGAAATATTAGTTACAGTGGTTTGGTGGACGCCGAGGCGAAGCTCAGGCAGTTCGGCGTCGTGGATGCGGGCAGGATCGGGCGGCCATTGTTCTCGACCTCCTTGTAACCAGGGGGGGGCCGCTCCACCAGAGTGGGTGATCTTTCAACTCCGAGGGAGACAGGCCTCGAGAAGCAGTCGGCTGGATTGTCTCCTCCAGGAGTGTGGTGCCACGCGACGTCTGGTAACGTGGTTTGGATTTCGCTGACCCTATTAGCCACGTAAGTCTTCCAGGAAGCTGGGTGGCCTCGGATCCATCCTAAGACGATAGTGGAGTCAGTCCACATATACATCGAGGTGGTCGCGGCATCCAGAGTTAGGCGGGTGTGAGCGACAAGCCGTGTCAGCAGGGTAGCGGCGCACAACTCCAACCGAGGTAAGGTAACCTGCTTCAGAGGTGCTACTTTAGTTTTGGCAGAGAGAAGAGTTACCTTGACTTGATTGTCCTTGTCTCGTATGAGCAGGTAGACTACGGCGGCGAAAGCTTTCTCTGAGGCGTCGGCAAATCCATGGATTTCCTGTGTACTGTCATTTGGTCCAGACGCAAGCCAGCGAGGAATCCTGATGTCCCCTAGGTGCGGGAGCTCTGCCTGCCAGCTTCTCCATTGATGGACGTCATTCTCGGGCAAAGAGTCATCCCACTCGACGCCTCGCAACCAGGTGGCTTGGATCCAGATCTTAGCCCATACCGTCACGGGGGAGAGCCACCCCAGCGGATCAAACAATCTGGCTGTCAAGGAGAGGACAGTACGTTTTGAGAAGACGTTCGGCTGAGTAATGGACATTGAAAAGGCGAAAGAGTCCTCGTGAGGGTGCCAAAGCAAGCCCAGAGTCGAATGACTTTCTCCGGGTAACCACCACCGAGGTTCACGTTGTAGCCGATCCTCGGCGGGTACGTCGCTGAGTAGAGCGGCATCATTAGCGGACCATTTTTTAAGCGGAAAACCGCCCGCCCTGCAGATTCTGGTCAACTGCCGCAGAAGATCCTTGGCTTCTTTGAGCGTGGATGCGCCGGTGAGGACGTCGTCCATATAGATATCCTTGAGAAGGGCAGACGCTCCGAGCGGGTAGCTTGACTTCTCATCAAGAGCAAGTTGATGCAGTGTGCGAATGGCAAGAAAAGGTGCGCAGGATAGTCCGTAAGTTACGGTTTTGAGTTGGTACTCCTGTATGTTGTCTTCAGGGCTTGACTGCCACAGTATTCTTTGTAGATCTCGATCTTGATGATGGACTTCGATCTGCCGGTACATCTTTTCGATGTCCGTGGCGAGCACGTAGCGATGGCGTCGCCATCGAAGAAGCACGTCCGCTAGAGTCGGTAGAAGATTGGGTCCGCTGTGCAGATGCTGATTCAGAGAGGAACCCGTTGTCACAATCGCCGAGCCATTAAAGACTACTCGGAGTTTGGTCGTGACGCTAGATTTCCGCAGGACTCCTTGATGAGGTAAATAGCAGACTGCTGTGTTGTCAGCTGGAGCTCGCACCGGCTGCATGTATCCGAGCTCTATGTATTGCTGCATAAATTCTCGATAAAGAGTGTAGAACGAAGAATCTTTAATGAAACGAATTTCCATTTGTTTCAGAGCGCGGAGAGCGATACGCCGAGTTCCGGAGAGATCGGGTAAGGATGCGGCTAGAGGCAGTCGCACAACGTACCGGCCGTCGGCCTTCCGAAAATGGGTGCGAACGTAGTGCTTCTTCGCACTCGACTTCAGCCTTGGAGAGAGCAAGTGGAGCGGAGGGGAGCTCCTCCTGTGCCCATAGATGTCGCACCATCTCGGAGAGGTCTTCCTCCACTTGGCATTGATGTGAGCGCATTGTTGTCGGAGAAGGTCCGTCTTCGGCGGCTTCGAAGAGTATCCATCCTAAAATTGTGTTTTGAATTACAGGTTCGTGACGAGTAGACCCTTCCGTAGACCAGGCAAGAGAATTTCGCTATAAATGTCGGCGCCAAGGAGGAGATCTACTGGATCTTCAGCACTGAAGTCAGGATCGGCGAGTAGCACTCCTTGAGTGTGCGACCAAGTCCTGGAGCCGAGAGGGCCTGCGCCAGAGTAGGCCGTGAGTTGACGCGGAAGGACCAGGGCTATCAACTGGATTGAAGGACCCTCACTCCGAGGAGCCATGGTAAGTGTGACTCGACTTCGTGAGGTGCTCGTCTTCTAGCCGCCGACTCCGTACACGGCGACCGTTACCGGAGAGTGCGGTAGAATTTTCTCGCAAAACGATGGGAAATGATCGACGACTCGGAGCCTTGATCGAGTAGAGCGCGCGCGGGATGCCAATTACCGTTACGATCGGCTACTCGTATGCGCGCCGTTGCTAGAAGAACGGTGGAGTGAGTTCCAGCATTTCGTAGGGCAACGTTCGTGCTTGTAGTGATCTCGGCTTCCCTGAAGGCGTCATGCATGGAAGTGTGGTGTCGATTGCCACATGCGGTACAGTTTTTTTTAGAGTTGCAGTCGTCAACCTTGTGGCGCCCGAGGCAGTTGAGGCATAAGTTATTGGTCTCAACGTGATGCCTTCGATCGGACACAGTTTTTTTCTTGTAGGAGTCACATAGCATTATGAAGTTGTCTTTCTGACAGAGTGAACACCGTCCTCGCGATCCCTCCGACTTTGCCTCCTGTTTTCGCGCGTGGTGACTCCGCGTCGTCCTCAGTTCTGACTTAGAGGAAGTACGATCAGCCATATTCACCGGTGCCATCGACTCGAGGGTGTGCAACCGTCTCTCGAAAAATTGTTCGAGTACTTTATACGAAGGAGGTTCTACCGAATCGCTAATAGAGTTTTCCCACTCTCGACGTGAGCGAGTGTCGAGCAACTCGACCGCGAGATAAACGAATAAATCTTCGCAGCTTGAGATTGGCCGATTTATGCTTTCGAGCGAGCTGACCACCGACTTCACGCCGTGGAAGACTTTGCGCAATTCCGTCGCCGATTCATTCTTAAGTTTTGGGAGCGCGAAAACTCTCGCGAAGTAGGCGCGCACGAGCAGTCTCTTATTTACATAGTAAGCACTTAGCGCGTCCCATGCTCTTGTGAAATTCTCGGACGTTGTCGATAGATCGCGAATCAATAATTCAGCTTCGCCCTTTAAGCAGGTTTTTAAATAATGTAGTTTTTCTACTTGCGTTATAGAGGCATTCCTCTCAATTATGGAGATGAAGAGATCTCTGAAGGCTGGCCAATCTTCGTACTTCCCCGAGAAGTGCGGCAACTGTATCCGAGGCGTAGTGCGAGGGAGATGAGGTGGCGCTGAATCGACTCCTGCAGCAGCTGTCGTTTCCCTTTTGTCAAGGCCCTGGAGGAGCTCCAGGAGAGCGCCCTTTTGCTGGAGGTATGCTTCTTCAGCCAAAAAAGGTAAATCTTGCTTGTAATATTCATGGTCTAGAAGCGCATCTCGGTGAGGAAATAGCTCATCGTCTTGTTGGTCGAACTTACTCCACTTCTTTTCCAGACCCTGCAGGCAAGCCTCGACGACCCCTCGCGTGGTTTTGGCTGTTCCAATCTTACGGAGATTGTCGCCCGTTCGAGCGATTTTCCCGAAAAGATTTAGTTGAGCGTCCGCTAATTTCACTATCTCGACACTCATAGTCACTTGCTTCCTTTTCAGGTGGTCAACTCAGAAGCGCTGAGCAAGCACGCGTAAAGACCGGATCACACACTGCACAAGCACGACACACGGAAAAGTCTCCGGCTCGAAGGACCAACAAATGTGCGAGATCGCGGTAGGAGACAAAGTGACAGCGAGAGTAGTTTAAAATTAAAGTTTATTTTACACTTAGTCTTATTTACAATAAAAAATTCACTATCTATCGATATCGGATTTATTATAAAATGTCTCTCTTTAAGGCTCAATAATATAGCGCGGAAAGCAACGCGATTTTCTAGTTTGAAGCGACGAAGTATAAAAGTCCGCAAGCGACGGACTCCAGAAGACCGACGAGAACTTCTGGTTTTATAAAATTCGTTTCCGAGGAATAGCGCACTGTTGCTTAGGAATACTAACGCAAGTGAGAGAGGACGGTCGCGCGAAGGGGTTTATATATCAACAGGACGCTAGAAGTCGCTCGAATTTTCTAGACTTAGAATTTTCTAGTTGTGTTTATTTGTTGATAATGTTTCAAAGTCAAGACTAGCTTATTGCTCTGTTGATATATGCCCCTCCTTTCGGGCGACCGTTTGGTGGAAAGACGTTAATAATTCAAAGTAAAATGTCGCGCTCGGATTCGTAAAGATTTTTATAAGCGTCGCGCGCGCGCGTCGGCCGCCGCCGTTATGAGTGTACGGCGCGGCTAATGCAAATGCGATCGCCAATTGCTCTGCCCATTTTTTTGGCAGATTCGTTCATTTTTTTGAACAAATATGCACAATACACAGCATACAAAACATATTATATAAACATATTATATAACTATAAAGAGGTAGTCCAATTACCTCTGAATAATTAATAATTAAATATTTTAACATTGTTAATAATCTAATAATGTAAAATTAATAAATATAAAGTTAAAAGACGCTTTATAACAGTACTACTAAAAATGCTCATATAATCGAAAGTCATTATAATACCGATGTCTTAATAAAATACATACACACATATATACAATATATATATATATATATATATATATATATATATACAGGGTGTCCCTAAATTCGCGCCCACGGAGTACAAGGTGTGATACTTTAGGCTAAAAGAAATAACTTTTTCCTTTAGCAAAATTGCGTGCGATAAGTAGTTTTTGAAAGAGAGCAGGTTGAAGTAAACCAATAGGCGTTCTGGTGTAAGTGGCGCTCAGGGCCGGCGCGCGCGCTTCGCTCACTTGTATCAAATTCTTGACTAGTATTTACAAGTAATGTTAAAACATTAATGCTTTGTTATAATTAGTTTACTATGAATTTATTTTTATCTTAGTTATGATTTTATTTTAATTATACATATAATTAGTTATACTTAAGACTCAAAATGTAGAAAATTTTCCAAAATGTAAGAAAATGATCAAAAAAGAAAAAAATTTAGAAGAATAGAAACGCGTTTAGCTCGCAAAGCACATTACTATTTACATTTGTCTCTATTTTCAGATAGATCTACGAAATCAGACATTCTTTTATCTTTTATTACGTAAGAAATAAAAGCAATATTTATTTTGTTAATTATTCACTTTTTAAAGAATACAATATGGAAAAAGATCACGGTTCAGTATTCAAGTTGATTCTTATTATTTGAGTCTTAAGTATAATCTAACTAATTATATGTATAATTAAAATAAAATCATAACTAAGATAAAAATAAATTCATAGTAAACTAATTATAACAAAGCATTAATGTTTTAACATTACTTGTAAATACTAGTCAAGAATTTGATACAAGTGAGCGAAGCGCGCGCGCCGGCCCTGAGCGCCACTTACACCAGAACGCCTATTGGTTTACTTCAACCTGCTCTCCTTCAAAAACTACTTATCGCACGCAATTTTGCTAAAGGAAAAAGTTATTTCTTTTAGCTTAAAGTATCACGCCTTGTACTCCGTGGGCGCGAATTTAGGGACACCCTGTATATATACAGGGTGTCAATTAAGTCCCGGGACGGCTGAATATTTTCTCATGTAAGGTATTTTTGAAAAAGGTCAAGGTCATTTCTGAAGTAATTTTCAATGAGGAATTCAACGGTGACCTTCAATTTGACCTTGAGCTTGACCTTCAAGGTTATTTGAAGGTCAAAGTGTTTTTTTTAAATAGGAACCCCCCCCTATTTTTGATTGTATATTCTTATAGCTGACCTCGAGAGCTTTCCAAAACACTATAATAAAATATTTTTCCCTCAAGCATTTATCGAGTTATGATGCTTCAAATCATTTCTTAATTTTACATAAACCGTAAAATATCTTGTAAAATATTCACTTTTCGATTATTTTACCTTAATACTTTTATGTACAAAATAATGAGAGGAATCAATTGGCGTAAAGAAAACATATAGTTGTTTTTAAGAAAAAATATGTAATTTGCAATTAACAATTCCATATTTTTTCTTAAAAACAACTATATGTTTTCTTTACGCCAATTGATTCCTCTCATTATTTTGTACATAAAAGTATTAAGGTAAAATAATCGAAAAGTGAATATTTTACAAGATATTTTACGGTTTATGTAAAATTAAGAAATGATTTGAAGCATCATAACTCGATAAATGCTTGAGGGAAAAATATTTTATTATAGTGTTTTGGAAAGCTATCGAGGTCAGCTATAAGAATATACAATCAAAAATAGGGGTTCCTATTTTAAAAAAACACTTTGACCTTCAAATAACCTTGAAGGTCAAGCTCAAGGTCAAATTGAAGGTCACCGTTGAATTCCTCGTTGAAAATTACTTCAGAAATGACCTTGACCTTTTTCAAAAATACCTTACATGAGAAAATATTCAGCCGTCCCGGGACTTAATTGACACCCTGTATATATATACATATATACATATAAGTACTGATTTATTAATTTTTATTATATTTATTAATTTTTTTTTGCAACTTTTATATGATATTCGTTTCTAATTATAAAATTTTGTTACAGTTCTTATGGTGAATTGAACAGCGAGGTTATGCATGCATGTGAGCCAGGAATAAGGCAATGGGATACGTATGAATTGTCATTGGGCATAATATACGGGTAAGGGTCTTCTTTTAAGATTTTATTTATTGATTTTAATATTTCTTTATATGTTTTTGAGTTTATGATCATTTTGATTGAATATATATATTTTGTGATTCAATTTAATTTTTCCTATTTTACATTATGAAAGATATGTATATATATATATTTTTTTTTGTACGTATATGTATTTTTTGATGTCTATTAATGGTATAACATTAGTGAGGGATGTTTTATTAATGTTTAATTATAAGAATGAGGTTGATGTTGTTATAGTCCGAAAGACTATAACTTATTATTTTGATAATATTAATAGAATATTCGCGAACCGTGCAAAACCGCTACCTCAGCGAACCACGCGTAAGGACGTTCGCCGGAAACGCGAAAACGCTAACGAAGGGATTCGACTTTGAACCTCCTTCGCTTGCACTTAGACTTTGGACGCCACGAAAAACCTCCATGACCATACATGGTCATGTCGCTAGGCGATCCCCTCCAAAACACCCCCAAATCAAGGGAATAAAAGCCGTCCACCGCGAATCCGCGGCAGACAGTCATTAATAAAAAATCAAACAACGAACGTTAGTAGTGCTAAACCAAGGGCTAGTTACTACACTGCATGAAACATCCGACGAAGTGACTAAACACACTAAGAATAAGAACGAAGCGATTCAGGAATGAGCTACGAAGAGAGGGCTCGAAGGAAATTGATTGATATACAATTATTTCCAAATAAAAATATATTTATAAGCAATATATTAATAAGCAAATTGTACTTTGAAATAAAGAGATTACAAATAAAAAAAGGAACTCAGGATCCCGTGATTATCTAACTTTCCCGGCTACCCCACAACACATTGTTGTGCCCGGCGCGGCACAGGGTGTGGGGTAGCCGGGAGAGGGAAATAATCGCTCCAGTTATTTAGCAACAGAAATTTATTAAACAGAATATACTTATTTATCCCTTATCTTTAGTCGGTTTTCTCAAGCCTTAATGTCGTCCTTTCCTGGATCCCTTCGTGATTAGTTATTATGTCGGGAGCTTCGTAGCTCGGTTTGGCGGCTAGCACTCGGATTCGCACTATGTCTTATCAACGGTCAGTCTTCGCGCACTGTTCTGACTATAGATTCACTGTTTATGACTGTTCGCCGCGGATCCGCGGTGGACGGCTTTTATTCCCTTAATTTTGGGGATTTTTGGAGGGGATCGCCCGGCGACATGACCATGTATGGTCATAGAGGTTTTTCCGGGTCGTCCAAAGTCCAAGTGCTAACGAAGGAAGTTCAAAGTTGAATTCCTTCGTTAGCGTTTTCGCGCTTCCGGGTGAACGTTCTTACGCTTGGATTGCTGAGGCAGCGATTCTATCAGGCTGCCGCATTTCTCAACAATATTTCATGCTGACACTTAATTTAATTATATATAGGTACTAATATTTAAATAGGTTATAGTCTGCAAGGCTATAACATCCCTCCCCCGTTAAAAAAGAAAAACGGAGGTTTAAACGAAGTTTTTCTATAATACAAATTGAATATAATATAATGTTTTTCCCGTTTTACAATGTGATTACAATCGTTTCTTATATCTAGCTTATACCCTTTTGTTCTTAAAATCGTGTGCTTCTGTTTCTTTTCAATATTGGTTTAGGCATTCTATACGATTTGTCAATTTCGTCTACTAAGGTAATAACACCTGGTTGTTTAGGTTTTCTTTTCCTATGTTGGATAATTATCCATGCTATTAATGCTATAATTATTAAAATAGTTATTCCACTAGAGGCTGTTGTATAAATGAATTACTTTTGTTTGAAAAAGTTACTGTCGTTATTATTTAAGTTGTCATTAATTTCTTCTAGTTTTTTACTTAGCCCTTTTAATTCTAATGGATTATTTATAATTCTTTTAAATTCGTAATCGCGATTTTGTGTGTCGTTAATTTCTTTGATCGTTAT